TTGAGATAGTGTCTTACTCAGTTGCTTAGTGCCTCTCTAGGTTGCTGAAGTTGACTTTGAACTTGCCATCCTTCTGCCTCAGCCTCCTGAGCCCTGAGATTATAGGCATGCATCATCGTGCCTGGCCTGTTTTCTGTTTTTGGTACTGGGGATTGAATTCTGGAGCATTCGACTACTGAGCCACATCCTTAGCCCTTTTTATTTGGAGATAGGCTCTCACTGAGTTGCTTAGAGGCTTGCTTTTGCTGAAGCTGGCTTTGAACTTACTTTCCTCTTGCCTCAGCTTCCCAAGCCACTAAGATTACAGGCCCATGCCCGGCTGGCACCTAATTGTTTTTAATTGCCTGTGCTAAAAAACAAGAAACTTGATAAAGTAGAAAAATGACTTTTATGACTTAGAAGATTATTTATAAATTAATGGTAAGGTATTAGGATTTATACCCTAATTAGTTTCAAAGGTACCATAAGTGACTTGTTGAACACAGAGTACAACTTTTTCCCTCACTGCAGTGCTGGCGATGGAACCCAGGGTCTGGCATGTAATTGGTAAGCAAGTGCTCTACTGCTGATGCTGTCATCATCCTCCAGATTACAACTTTTAAAAATGTGTTTTAAATAATTGATATTGTGTTTGTGACGAGGCTTGAATTTCTTTGGTGAAGAAGACATTCTCAGTGCAATGCTGGCTAAATGAGTTTTAAATAATTATTTACTCATGAAACTAATGTTTTGAGTATAGATTGAATTGGATATTTTTTGTGAGTGTTAATGATAACAGTGTCAAAAAATGAGTCTCTTTCCTGAGGAAGCTTAAATTCTAGTAGTGGAAGGCAGATAATACATAAGTAAATGGGTGGATAGATAGTATGTACTCTTTAAACCACAGGTACTGTTTTAGTGCTTTTATATATTTAGAACTAGAGGGAAGAATAAAGCAGCGCAAGGGGAAAAGGAAACATGGTGGTAGAGATGTAGTTTTTTAAAAAAATATTTTTTAGATGATTAGACCTTTATTTTATTCATTTACTTATATGTGGTGCTAAGAATCAAACTCAGTGCCTCACACATGTTAGGCAAGCACTCTACCACTGAGCCACGCCTCAGCTGCAAGATGTAGTTTTAAATGGGATAGTTAGGGAACATGGCATTGACAGGGGACCTCAGCAGGGTTGGGAAATGGAAAGAACCATGCAGATACATGGGGGAGAGCATTCAGACAGAAATAACCAGAGCACTGTGCTGTCAGGTTGCAACATACTTTATTCTTTGGAAGAGAGCAAGGACAGAAAGGGTGGAGCAAAGTGAGAAGGAGAAAGCATTGAGAGTGTTAGGACACATGTAGGTTATTTATAGGATCCACAGGTGACTGTAAAACATTGCTTTTTCTTGGTGGATTTTGAGCAGTGGAGTGATAAGATATTACTTACTTTAAATCTGTTTCAGGTACTTAACTGCTAATTAGCTTGACCATAATAATCAATCCACAAATTATTAATTTGGGATATAGAAAGTTCAAAATGAAGAGGGAGTGTGGGATGACAGGAAATGGCACTTCCGGTCAGTAGGAAGTGTCTTTTAGGATTCAGTGAAATTCCCAAATTGTTTGAGTTATGTAACTCCAAACTTTTGAGTTTTTCTTCCTGATGATTGTACAGTTTGGCTTATTTTCTTGTCATCTGTGTTCTAAAGATTCTTAACTGCCTTTGTAGCTCAAATCTAATGTATCATGCTTGCTGTGTGACTTCTGAAAGTGCTAATGTTGCACTGTTATTTGGATGCCTTAATAATTTACTTAAATCATTCCCTGTTTTATTAGTATACGCAGTATTCCTAATGTCTGCTGTGATTTCAGCGTTAGCCTTTGTCTTGGAATTTTTCTTGAGGTTCATGACTCTAGTTTGGTTGAAGACAGGCTTTCTGAGCTTCAAGTTTGCTCATGTACTATGCTCACATTTATTCCATAAACATCCTAAAATAAGCAGTTCAAATATTGTAAGAGAAAGATCTTCTGAAAAACAAGGCTCATGAGAAACTAGTTGCAGAGTTCATCATACACACACACACACACACACACACACACACACACAGACACACGGTCTGAAGTGTCACTAAATCAACAAGGAATAGTGGCTGTAAGTTACCCTGCATTTTTAGGACTTTTGGAAAGTCATAAAGTAGGTCTTGTTTCTCTGTATAACCTTATTTTTAAATTTTATTGAAGAATAAAATTTTAATAATACTTCTCTTTTGTCTGGAAGGAAGCTGACCATAAGTATCTTTTTTTTTCAGGCATTTTGAGGTCAGAACCTCTTTCGATCTCCCAGTACTGTGAAAGACACTGCCAAAAGATGCTTTTCTCTTCACTTACACAAGGAGAAATAATGTACCTTCTCCTTTTCTTTCTCTACTTATTGTTCTATGTAAATTCCAACTTTATTTTATTTGAGCTATCTGAAATTTTATTTTAAAAGTTTAGTGATGAATATCTGTGTTGAAGCTTTTAGTTCTCTGATCATTTGTCTTTTGTTAGATTAGCAGACTGTAACAATAGGTGACATTGGTGTCAGAGTGCTGTGTGACTCTTGCATTGCAAGCAGTGCTCCATCTAGAGGATTTAGATGAAGTATTACAGTCCACCCTAATTATCCACAAATTTGCAAATATTATAAATTTATAAAATTATAAATAAATTTATAACATTCAAATAAATAGTTGTAGCACCTTCACAGTCATTTATGGACATGTACATATCAGAACATTTGATCGAACTGACATGCATATTTCCAACAAGGAAAGAGGTCAGGAGGATGCTGCTCTGCCTCCTTGTTTAGCTCTCATACTATGAACAGTGTCCTTTCCATGGTCTGTAGTAGTATATTTTCTCTGTTATTTGTGTTTTTTGTTGGTGATTGTGTTGCTTAAAATGACCCCCTGGGGCTGGGGCTGGGGCTCAGCAATAGTGAACCTGCCTGGCATGTGTGAGGCACTGGGTTCAATTCTCAGCATTGCATATAAATAAATAAAATAAAGGTCTATCAATAATAAAAATATTTTGGAAAAAAAATGATCCCCAGGCATACTGCTGAATTACTGCTTAATGAGCTAAGGCTCAAGAAGTCTGTGATGTGTACCTTATGGAGAAAATAATGTGTGTTAGGTAAACTTCATTTAGGCATGAGTTATAATGCCATTGACTGTGAGTTCAATGCTAATGAGTCTGTAATGTATATTAAATAAGATATCTTTAATCACAAACACACATAAAAGAGGTTATGCATTGATTGGTTGATGAAAATGTGACCAGAGGCTTGTAGGATCTGTATTTTTCTCTAGGAGGAATGGCTCAGTATTTGCTGATTTCGTGATTGCAGTAACTTCATGGAACAAAATCACTGTAAATAATGAGAATTAACTATTTATTTAAGCATGATGTTTTATAGAGTCTTAAGGTATTGGAAACATCTTGTAATTCTCTCCCTGTGAAACTATTGTTGCTGGTATGTTTAAATATTTGTATGCAACTTTACAATGTAAAATCTAATGTTACTGGGGGTTCTGGTCAAAAAGGCTAAATTACATTGGTTAATATTTAAAGAAAAGCTGTGAATATAGCTCAGTGGTGGAGCACCTGTCTAGCATACACGAAGCTTAATCCCCAATACCATCCCCCACCCAAGTAAAGAAACATTTCTTACGTTAAAATTTTTTGGTAGTACTGGGGTTGAGTCTAAAGAGACACTAAAGAAGGCAATATCAATGTTAAAGAATGATGTTCTTCCAGTGGCTCGGAAGGCTGAGACAGGAGAATCTTGAGTTTGAAGCCAGCCTCAGCAATGGTGAGGTGTTAAGCAACTAAGTGAGACATTGTCTCTACAAAATAGGGATGGGGATGTGGCTCAGTGGTCAAGTGCCTCTGAGTCCAATCACCGGTACCCAAAGGGAAAAAAGCATAATATTCTTTTAGGATTTTATCATGTTGTTTTTGTACAGTGAGGTAGGTACAAGAAAGAAGACTTGGTTGTCAGATTTTTGTGTTTGTTTTACATGAAGCTAGTTGTAGCTAACTAGCTTGGGAAATTCACGTGAGTTCTTCTAGCCTTAGTTCCTTGAGTGTGAAGTGAGGAACATTTTCAGTTTGAAAATTCTGTGGTTTTCTTTTATCAGTATTATTCCTGACCTTGAGTCAGTTCCATTCTCATCAGATTGCCAAGGAAATAGTACAATTTAATGTCAAAATAGGTTAGCCATCGGATTTTATTTTACTGAACTCAAGTTGTCTCATTAGTTATTGATAAAAACATAAGTTATGTATCTGATATGCTCGATATTAGGTACTTCTGCTGGTAAGAAGAAGTAAAAGAAAATCCTTGAATTTTTGATGGATTTTAGGGTATAGGAATGTGTTTATTGACATTTGTGTTTTATTTATATGTTCTAAATCACACAAAAAGTTTTCTCTAAAAACAAGATCATAATTAGAGTTTTAAAAGAAAAAAACACTTGCACTTTGGACAGAACTATTTATTAGCTTTATTAAAGTTTCAAGTTTTAGATCATGAGTGCTTAATTACTTTTTAATGTGCCTAGTGTGTTGGCATTATTTGGGTAACCTCGAACATGTCCATAGAGATACAAAGGATGAAGTTTAGGAATGAAGCATCTATACTACCAATGCCTAAAAAGCAATTTATTTTGAAGTATTGTTATCTAGTCTTCATGCAGTTTAAAAAAATCATACTGTGGTTATGTAATTACCTGAATTTTTCCCCTTAGCATAATATTATATAAACATCCATGTTTTCACAAAGTTTCATGAACATCATGTTTAAGGATTATACTGTATGTCCCGTCTCACAGAATTCTTTTATCTTGAACATCTGGGTTTTTATTTTTATTTGTATTCTTTATTGTTTCTCTATTTTTTTTTTTTTTTTTTGCTTTTGTGGATAGAGCTGCAGTGAGCATCCTCTGTATAATTTTTTTTTTTCTTTCTGTTTTAGGATTACTTCGTTAGGATAGATTGCCAGAAGTGGAGTTACTGGGTCAGAGGGTATGAACTTAAGAAAATTTTTCCTTTTTTTAAAAAATAAAAGTATTTTGTTTATTTGCTTCCCAGTTGATTTATATTGTCAAAAATGCAAATCATAATGATTATATTTGTTACCTGTCAAAACACTGTGTCTGAGACAAGATTCTATAATCAGAGAAGTTTGGGAAATTCACAGGATACCGAGCTTTTCAACTTGATTTACCTTTGCATTTTCTGAACTTGACTGAGCACTGAATAGTTTTTTTGTGATACACTTCATAACATTTTGTGGAAGTTTTACACAGGATACAGTTTATGAACTACTGATCTAAAATTTAAAATCATTTTATTGGTTAAGTTATATTTTATTAGCCAAAACAAATTAAATTATAAAGTTTTAAGCTAAGAATTATTAAAAGAAAGATGTTGCAATAAAGCTGGTTGCTGTATAATTTGGGGAAATTCTCATATAACTTTTATAATTTAAACTTTCTGTATTGATTACTAAAGAGCATCTTAATGACTTGATGACATTAGATATTTTTTACAATCTTTAATGATATTTAATATATATATGTGTGTGTGTGTATAATATATATATTTGCGTGTGTGAAATTAGAAGATAATATGGATATAAAAACCTAATTTTTCCTCCCATTTTCCCCTGCAGAATGTGAAAACCTTTTCATCTTCTGATAGTCTAGCCAAGGTCCAAGAAGTAGCAAGCTGGCTTTTGGAAATGAATCAGGAACTGCTCTCTGTGGGCAGCAAAAGACGACGAACTGGAGGTTCTCTGAGAGGTAACCCTTCCTCAAGCCAGGCAGATGAGGAACAGATGAATCGTGTAGTAGAGGAGGAGGAGCAGCAGCAGCAGCAGCAGCAGCAGCAACTGAGACAACAAGAGGAGGAGCACACTGCAAGGAATGGTGAAGTTGTTGGAGTAGAACCTAGACCTGGAGACCAAAGTGACTCCCAGCAAGGACAAGTGGAAGAAAACAATAATAGATTTATTTCAGTAGATGAGGACTCCTCAGGAAATCAAGAGGAACAAGAGGAAGATGAAGAACACGCTGGTGAACAAGATGAGGAGGATGAAGAGGAGGAGGAAATGGACCAGGAGAGTGATGATTTTGATCAGTCTGATGACAGTAGCAGAGAAGATGAACATACTCATAGTAACAGTGTCACAAACTCCAGTAGTATTGTGGACCTACCCATTCACCAACTCTCCTCCCCGTTCTATACAAAGACAACAAAAGTGAGTATAATCGATCTGTTAACCTGAAACACTTTACAACTCTATTTTAATTGCAGTGAAATTTTCCTCATGTCTTTTTATTACTGCAAATTAATTTTCACAAATATAATAAAATGATTTAATTTTTGTTTTACAGAAGTTATTAGAAAGTATTACGAATAGAAATACTAATAATGGGACAATCTTATCACAAATGGGGAGATGGTAATTGGTTCTGTCACTATGAAAAATTATTAACATCAAATTGTCTTCTAAAATTTTCCCTAGCACAGGGATTAGCAAATCGTGTTTGCGGTGTAGAAGGTTGGGGGAGAATATAATTTTTCTAAATCAAGTAATGAAGAGTTTGTTTTTTGTTTTGTTTTAAAAAATAAAAGCTGGATGCTATGGGCTGTGTATCTACAAGTGGTATGCTAAGGCATGTTACTGGAAGTTGCCTCAAATTAGTTATTATTATTTTTTTAATCATTGGAAAATTAGATAACTTTTGCACTGCTATGACAAAATACCGGACAAGAACTAATTAGAGGAGAAAAAATTTATTTATTTGGGGCTCACAGTTTCAGAGGTCTCTTTTACATAGATGGCCAACTCCATTGTTCTGGGCCCAAGTTGAGGCAGCACATCATGAGGGGAGGAGACCAGAGCTGGAAAGCTGCTCAGCTCATGGGGGAGTTAGGAAGCCCAGAGAGAGGAGGGAGGGAGAAGTGCCTTCCCCTTCGGAGGTGCATGGCTCCTCTATTAATACCCCACCTGCCTACAGTTACCACCCTGTTAGTTCATTCAAACTAAGATGGTCTGATTGGGTTACAGCTCCTATAAACCCAATCATGTCGTCTCTGAATATTCCTGCATTAACAAGAGCTTTTGATGGTGATGGGGGGATACCTCGTATCCAACCATAACAAATAGAACTCATAAATACCTGTGTATAATAGACATCTGAGTTTTAGTTTGAAATGGAACATTTTACTTTGAATAATAGCTTATTCATTTCACAAAACAATAATATCTGTAGTAGTTCATCTTCTAATCCTGTTTGCTTGCTTGCTTATTTATTTATTTATTTATTCATTCATTCATTCATTCATTCATTTATTTATTTATTTATTAATCCTGTTTGCTTATTTGTAAATTTCACAGTGAATTGTTGTAGATGATAAGCCACATATACAAAGAGATGTAACATCATCTCCTTTGACCTGGAATGCGGTATCTGACGCACTTGGATTAAAACTGGAATTACTAAATCATTTTTGTTTCAGCTTGTAAAACTTAAATTCTTTCTAAAACACGTTTATCCCTAATTTCCATGGCTTGTCCACAAGTTGGATTTTATTTAGCTGGTGATCTTCTAAGAAGGAAGTGGCGTCTAGTAGCGGTGTCATCCACTTTGTCATCCACTTTGTCATCCACATCTCAAAAAGTTGAATAGTCGCTTTGAATTTCAGCCAGGTGGATCCATGACTGACAACTTTAGCCTTGCTTTGTTAGTAAGGCTCAGGTCTTATATACTACCATTCCCCCAGCTTTTGCCATCTGGTATTCCTCCTCCTCTTCTTCCTCTTCCTCTTCTATCTCCTTATCTATTTTATTTCCATTAGAAAAACATTATATGCATAAAATTTTGGTCCACTCTCTTCTCGTTTACCTCTGCCATTCAAGTTGGAATATTTTGCCCAAGTAAAAGCAGAATCACATATTTGATTTGAGGGCTGAATATTTCATATCATTAAATTAATAGGACTTAATAAGTTTGGTCTTTATTATTTTTTAGAAACTACAACTCATCTTTCCTACGTGTTATTTTCCTTGTACTTCTATTTACTTGAGTGACTATGTAATGAGTATCTCTTCTCCTATATTCAGCAATATGAGTGTACCGAAGTATAATTGTATCATCAGTAGTTGGATTCATTATCTAATATTCAATGTTGTCAAATCCCTCAATGATATGGTCTTTCCATGATAACTTGAGATATTTTAATCACACATTACACTTTCTAGCATCCCTTGTAAAAATCACGATGTTAACTTAAAGACGCGATGAGAACAACACTGCCCATTTACACACACACTATATACTGCTGTGAGAAGTCTTTGGACAACTACTGCTTGAGTCTCAACCCAGCCTTCTTTGGATAAATCAGCAACCTAGTAAGCAGAACAATTACTCTTGAAATTCTGTTTGTAGATTTCATTGCTAGTATTGAAATCATTTATGTTGGCCAGCCAAATAGTTGCTTTGAGTGCATTAGTGAAATCACAGCCTGCAGCTTTTAGAATTTCACCCTTAAAGAGCTTGTTTAGCTTCTGCTGCTACCCATCCTAGTACAAGTTGTCTGCTCGAAGGGTCCGTGCTTATCTATAAGTCCAGGGATGTAAATGGTCCTGTTGACCAACACTGCTTGACTGTGGTATCTGGGGAAGTGCCTTTTTGATCAGGGCTGACATGACTAGTCTTTCTTTCTCATGCCCCTCTTGGAGAAGAGACCCTTACACCACCCCTGCCCAGTTCTTATCCAGTGACTGACCAGCCTCAGGCAGGCTGCTGGAAGATCCAGCCCAGGGAAAGCTCACTGGACTGGTCACTAGTCTTCTGCCACTCCCTTAAGGTTACACATATCAAAAGAGGAAGCTTAAATCTCCCTTTTTCTAAAAATTCAGGTAGAGGAATGGGTATTTAGTACTGAAAATGCAATGCATTTTCTTATTTAAGAAAGAAGTTTAATCAAAATTAAGCCCTGATGAACAATACAAAGCTGTTGCAGATTTCTGTTATACTTTAAATAAAAAAGGTATCTAAGCAAAACATCTTTTTTTGCAAAAGGAGAAACTGGCATAACATTCTGTGGGAAAACTACCACTACACAGGTTTGACAGATGCTTTGACCTTCCTTTACTTTAAAGATGAAGCCATAAACAGAACTTTAGGTATATCTAATATAGTCATACTATTATCTCTTAAGTACACCCAGTTAATGGAGTGTTTTCGTCCTTGTGATTCTCAGTCACACACACACACACACACACACACACACACACACACACACACATAAAATTACTGGGTTATACCTACAAGATAGCAGCAGAGATGGACATGTGTGTACATATGTGTTTTTATATATATCTTGGATATATTGTTCATCATGGAAGTCATTTGTCTTCATAAATATGACATGAAGACTGTAAAGCTGTTGGATTCCCAACACAGCAATACCTTTCTACAGAGTAGAATTTCAGAGTAAAATTGATCTGAATGTTTTTCTTTTTGTCCATTCATGAAAGTCATTTTTAAGTTCATTTCCAGAGTGCTTTTTCAACATTTTTAAAAGTCATCTATTACTGCATTGCTTTAGAAGAAAATGTCAGTCATCCATGTACCTAGTTTTTAAAATATGGTGAATAGGGTGAAACTCTCACTAGTTCAACTACTTTATTTGGGGAGATCTTTAAACTATTGATCATTATAAGCATAAGACAGTTTTATAAACATTACCCTAGATCACAATTTCATCCAATTCTTATTAAACATTTACTTTTGAGAAGAATAGAGGCTATAAGATCATTTTTAAAAAACCCATTTTAAAATTTTAATACAGGATTAGCCTTCTATAGTTTTATCTGGTGTGCTTTTTGTATTTTTTCAGTCTCCTAAACAAACCTCATGTATGGCTAGACTTATTTATACATCATTCCTGAATGTGTAACATTTGCATATGATATTAGAAAAAAACTTTTAGATTCTTCCTTGCCTTGGTTTATTCTTTGGATATTGAAACCTGTCAGAACTCTGAGGGCAATCTCTCTTCCCTTCATTACTTAACGTTGTTTTTATGGGAATCTTTGGCAAACAATAATTTTTTGAAATATTAGAATGTTAGAAATTCTAGACTGTCCTGATGTTAAGTCAAGAGTGGTAGTTGGGAATTGCTGTTTGTTAAGCTCATAGTGTGTGCAAGATCCCACAACAGATTAGTGAACTAAGGCTACAGAGAGGCCAAACGCTTCACCCCAAATCATACCATAATTGGCAGCTTTTAATCCTGAACTGTCCAATTTCAAAAACACCCCTTTTCCTTCCCATGTATTATGCTGCCCCCTATGGTAGAATTTGGCAAATAGTACTAAACAAGGTTTTCAACAGAACAAAATCAAAGGTTCTAGACTCTGGAATAGCATGACTTTCTAATATTATGTCACATTTGCAATATTCAGAGTTACCCATTAGAAAGTAGAGAGAACTCAGTCAAGGATTTTTCTTTTTGGTATTTAACAGATCATTATGGAAAATATGGGGCCCCAGGGCTAAAGTTGTAACAGGAAGAAATGACAATGTAAAAAAGAAATTTGAGACAAGATTATACAGATCACTAGGTGCCCTCAAATGTGCTTCTTAACCATAGGTCGATTATGTACTGACTGTTTCTCTTAATTTGACTAGTTTTCCTGTAAATTAGAGTCAGCTTGCTTCTGCAGGTATGAATAATATCTTTACAGTTTTAACTCTGTTATAAGAGTGTTATTGTATTTTTAAAAATTGAACCTTTGACATGCTTTTTGAAAAGTATCGACTTATTTTCTTTCTTTCTTATTGTTTTAATTTTGCCAACTCATTTTTTACTAATATGAAAAGCACATGAGATTACCATTAGGACAGGTTTAGAATCTGCCTGGTTTTTTCATGAAAAGCAGCATATTTGAGAATTAATTTCTGATGCTTCTATATCTGTCTTGGTGTCTTGCATCTGTGACTTCATTGCTCACCTAAATGTTATTTATTTATTTTTCTGTATCCTGATTGTTACATTCTTCTTGGTAACTAAGCAGTTTGTTTTCCTGTTTTAATATGTATATTAAAAGAAATAGTATGTTGAGTGTATTGGAATCTAAGGGCTAGAGATACTTTCTTGTCCCTGGGTTCTAAATAATAGAGGAATTAAGCATAGGTATCAGGGGATCAACATAACAGTTTTGTTTTGTGTCACCATCCTTCAACC